AAAGTTAGACCAAAGAATATTCAGGGCCCTTCTGACCTCTACAGATTCTAGAACTTTCTATATTATATTCCTAGATTATAGATGACATCAGGGAGAAGCAAGGACCATGACATGAACTAAAGAACAAACGCTCAGAGCTCAGAGCTCAGGTGTCTAAAAGTACAAAAGAAGAAAGCCATTTCAGGACAGGAGAATTTAACTCACAATGAGAGTTATACTTTACATCTACAAGCAACACATTTCAGGAGATTTCAAATGTTCATCTCTGACTCGATAATTCCTTTTAGAGGATTCAATGTACAGAAATAATCACAGATGAGCACCAAGACTTGCTCACAAAGATGTTCATCTCAGTGTACTTATAATAGAAAAAAATTAAAGTAACTTCAATTTCTAATACTCAAGGAATGGTTAAATTATCCATGGTATGTGTCTTTTGCAAGAAAATAACATGGAGGAAATATTTATGATATATAATATCAAGTGGGGGAGAAAAAGTACCATCCTGCATTGTCTCTGCTTCATAATCTCAGTTCCAGAGGGAAAAAAGTTCATAGATGAAAGACCAGAAGAAAATGTGCCTCTGGTTAGTGGGATTTGTGGGAAATTTTTTCTGCTTCTTTGCACTTCCAAATGTTCAGCATCTAGTACTTTGAAACCCTCCCCTAAAAACAGTACAAAAATGGAATTTGAAGAAGTAACACTTTGCCAAAAGTACAGTCAGCTTTCTCACCTCTTTGAGCAGTGTGATGCAAGTATCGCATTTAAATACTGGATCCCTTCCTTTCTTCTTCACATGGTGGGGGTGGGGGGCAATCTGGCTCCAGCATGGAAACCTCACGACGTTGAATAGGGCCTTGGAGCGCTGGGCTCTTCACTCTTCCTGGCTGGGCATGAATCGCTGCCCTTTTAGATACCCTGCACTGGCAAGTCCTCAGACCAGGGCGGCTATCCAAGCTGCCATCTCCTTGCCCATTCTGGCAAAGCCATGAAAGAATGCCAGGGAAGGTGGCACTGTGCCCAGGAGCTGAGGGCACAGGCTCTGGAGACAGACAAAGCAGAACTCTGCATCCCAGAACCTGGACACACGGACCCTGCACTTCTTGAATGTTCAGGCACAGACAATAGAGACAACTTTGAAGAGAAGCAGGAACATTGGTCTGGGCTCAGAAAACCCAATTGCTCTCCTGACCCTGCTTCTACCTGGCTATATGGTTTTGAGGAAGTCACCAAACTTCGGATGGACTTGATTCAAGGTCACTTTCATCTCTAAAGGTCTAATCTGTGTCTTGTTGCTATGTGTGGCCTTACTTCTAAGAATGGACACGATTCAGGTAGTCTATTTGGCCACATGTTGTCCCAATTAATCTCAGCTGTGCAGAGAGAGGGTCTGTCCTGAGAGAGGCAGACCCTTCCTATCAGCACCACTGGGTTTAGCAGAGCACCCCCCTACCCCCACCCCACCAGTCTCTCCACAGGGGCAGGCTCTGGGCCTTCTAAGGTGAGCACCCTGAACAAGGCCCCAGCCCTCTCTCTCCTCTCCTAAGCCTCGCACGCACTTCTGGCAGGGGCCTTCTTGACCTCCACCATCACCCTATCCTAGGTGTCCAATGCAGAGGAGGGTGTCTCCTGGGAGGAATTGCAGGCCATCTTGGCGTCCATCCAGGGCATCTGTTTAGGAGGCACAGTCTTTTGCAGCATAAATCAACATGACAAGCTGGTCCCTGGAGGAGGAGAGGAGAGGGGCAGAAACTCTATGTGAGTATATGCATACATGTGCATGTGTGTGCACATGTGTATGTGCACATGTGTGTGTGGCTTTGGCATGTTTACAATTCTTAGGGGAGGAGACAGGATCTGATATGGCTATAGTGGACCTAGTCCAGTGATCGGCAACCTGCGGCTAGCAAGCCACATGCGGCTCTTTGGCCCCTTGAGTGTGGCTCTTCCACAAAATACTGACTTCTGCACATGGGCCACAAAGTTTCAATCGCACTGTATGTGCGCGCCCATACGTGGTATTTTGTGGAAGAACCACACTCAAGGGGCCAAAGAGCCACATGTGGCTCGCGAGCCACAGTTTGCCGACCACAGATAAAGATGACTCTTCAAATTTGTCAATTGAAAATGACTTTTTCATTATCAATTGGCAAACTTCAGACAGTTTCCACTGTCATGGGACAGCCTGTCCAATGGCTGATTTTGTGTATGCTCATGTCCCGTGGTCATCACACACCTGGCACATGCATCTGTCAGTGGAACAAAGGCAGGTGGTGGACTTTCCAAGAACAAACAGGGGTGGCCCCAGCTGAGGGCCCTGAACACACAAAGGCTGCAGAAGTTCTTTGTGTAGCTTTACAACTTTGGAATCGTGTAAAAAGTCGTTACCAGACTTCCTATTGAGTTATGTCAATTAGAAACATATATTTGTTACAGAATGGCCAACAAGGGGCCAGATATACCTTCCAAGAGCCCACTGATGTTGTAGTTCATTGCATAGATGTATGACAGAGAAAGGGCCAGGTCAGGGGTAGATCACATCTTACCGAGGATGGGGGTACAGCAAGGCAGTAAAAGACCAGCGGAAAATGAGAGGTATGCACACCCGCTGTTACCAAGGGAAGTTCCCAAGGATCTTTATTCCAGGCCCAGAGCACATCCTCTTCTAATGCTTTTGACCAAATTAGAAGGATGTCCCCAGCAGTACATTCTTCCTGCTCCATCCACATGTGCTGCTGGCAGAGAGAGAGAGAGAGAGAGCTTTGTTAGCCTCTTACTCCTAGCCCAGTCATCAACCACCTTCATCTGAGGTCCCCGGATATTCTAGGCCTTGAGCCCCACAGGCAGCCATTGTATCAGTAAGACCACCAGGGTGGTCAAGGTGGTCTTACAGACCTGGGAGGAGCGTACTGCATCTTGAACAAAGTCCTGGCCAGGTTGGGGTTTACCCCAGGGTTTCTCCAGGTTCTCAAATCTTGCACACACCAGAATCACCTGGAAGGCTTGTTAAGACAGATTGCTGGGCCCTGAGTTTCAGATTCAAAGGGTCTGTAGGACTCAGGATGACCCAAGGACTTGCATTTCTCACAACTTCCCCAGTGATGCTGTGCTCCAGGGGCCACTCTAAGTACAGGTAGAAACCCAGTGAGTGGGCTCCAAGGGCAACCCTAGGGAAAGGTAGAAGAATATGTCCGTGGGCCCATATCCAGCTAGACCCTGCCCAGGTCCTCGGTCCATGGTGATGGCTCCTTGAGGAGAACAATCAAGTGTATTGTCTCTCCTGGGCCTCTGTTAAGATGTTACTTCCTCAGAGATGTGGTCTCTGATGATCTAGGTACAGCAGCCACTGCTCTTGGTCATATTGTTCCCTTCTATATTCTTTTTAATCACTAATTAGTAGAGTTGCATTTCCTACTTAGTTGTTTATGTGTTTATTGTCCACTTTATTCCATGAGAGAGGGTTTCTTGAGGGTGTCTTGTCACTGTTGAATCCTCATCTCCTAGAACAACATCTGGTCTCTTACTGACACTCAATGCACAAACGTTGTGGAATGGCCACCCCGGGGGAACAAACTGAACTCTTGGTGTCTGCAGTGGGTGGTGTAGACCCTGATCTATTCCCAGGGTCCTTAGTGGACTAGCTCGGCAAAGTCTTTATAATACTTGAGGCAATAGATGAGACCTCAGCGTGAAGCTCTTAATACTCCACTATCATTTAATGAGCCATTAGATGCCTTGACTGAACACAGAGGAGAAATGAATGGGGACATGGTAGAAATGTTGAACCTGGCCCTGGGGTTTCCTAATGGTGATAAGAGCTCCAACTCCTCCATGCTGATAGCAGCCCTGAGTCAAATATCTGCAAGGACCAGGACCAAGGGGGGCTCTCCAAACCTGGAGCTCTGCTCTAAGGGGAGTACACTGGTGAGATCAGGCTCCCTGCTGAGTCTGTGCCCTGCTTGTGAGGTCACCAGGCAGAATATTAACCACAGCTGCTCTACCAGACTCCCTCTCACTTGGGCAGTGCAAGAACAATGACCATGTACCACACACACACACACACACACACACACACACACACACACACACACTTTCCAAACCAGTCCTCTATGTCCCAGGCAATGGCATAAAGGAAAATGTTTAGTTAGCTTTGGGCTCAAAACTGACAAGTCCCCCTGACAATGTGCCACAGCCTAGACCTGGAGCTCTGGTGTAACTGACCTGGGGGTTACCTTTTTGAGTCTTTAGAGCAGTGGTTCTCAACCTTCTGGACCTTTAAATACAGTTCCTCATGTTGTGACCCAACCATAAAATTATTTTCGTTGCTACTTCATAACTGTAATGTTGCTACTGTTATGAATCATAATGTAAATATCTGATATGCAGGATGGTCTTAGGCGACCCCTGTGAAAGGGTCGTTCGACCGCCAAAGGGGTAGCGACCCACAGGTTGAGAACCGCTGCTTTAGAGGCTGAACTTCTGACATTTGCAGTCCAGCAGTCCAGGTCTGAAGCACATGTTCTTGGCATTTGCTTGCTTATTTATTTGTTCAACAAGTAGTTTTTAGGGGAAGGTGGGTGAAGGGGAGGGGCCTGTTGTAGCTGAGCACCAATCTCTGGGTATGTGTGTATCTCTATGGACACAAATTATAGTAAAAATTCAGTTTTACTCAATGCACTAAATATATCCTGGATTGGATCCTAGGACAGAAAAAGGACATTAGTGGAAAAACTGGTGAAATCTGAATAAACTCTGGAGCTCAGTTAATAGTAATGGAGCAATGTTAATCTCTTAGTTTTGACTAATACACCAGTTATGTAAGATGCTAACATTGGGAGAAACTCGGTGTGGGATGTATGGCAACACTCCATACTATTTTTGCAAGTTTTCTGTAAATCTATCATTATTCCTCCAAAAAAGTTTATTTAAAAAATTCTGTTCCAAAGTTTTACAATCCAATGTAACATATTGATTTGGAGGTTTAATTGGCAAATCCACTATTCAGTTCAACTTTTATATTTTATTGAGGTATAACATGCATACAGTAAGTTATACAAATCATGTGTGTACAACTCATTGAATTTTTACATACAGATGCACCCTCCTGATCAGCACCAGGTCAAACATTAGAATGTTCCCAGGACCCTTCACAGTATTCCTCCACCAGTGTCTTGCTGTATATACCATAGACTGGGTTTTGCCTGTTCTTGAACTTCATGTACATAGAATTATAAAGAATGTATTCTTTTGAGTCTGGCTTTTTTCACTCAACATACCATCTGAAAAGTCAACCATACTATTATGTATAACAGTAGTTGATTCTCTTATTATTGGGTAATATTCCATTGCATCAATAGTCCCCAGTTTAGTTACCCATTCTGTTTTCAATTGACATTTGGGTTGTTTCCAGTTTAGGACTCTTATGAATGAAGCTGCTGTAAATATGCTCATCCATGTATTTGGCAGCTATATGCGTGCATTTCTCTTGGATGTATACTTCCGAGTGGAATTGCTGGGTCATAGGGTATTTGCATGAGCAGGGGGACAAGAATAGGGGGTAGCACATGGCCAGCTCACTGAGCCGGAAATTCAGTTGGGAAGACTTGTTTCAGGGTGAACATGAGGAAGATGACCTCCTCGTAGTTATCATGTTCGTACAGACACCCAAACTGGGGTGAGCCATCGGGACCAACACCCAGGCTCTGAAGGTCTGAGTAGGCGCAGCTGCCCTCAGCCAGCAGGGCCGGGTGGGACCAGGCGTTAGAGGCTGGGGGCCGTGTATTGAGGTAGGCACCTAGGTTGGTTCTCTGCCGGGGGTCAGTAGGGTGAGTGTAGAGCAGCCACTTGTCTGAGGAGCCAGGCCCCGCTCTGGGGCTGGGGAAGGCAATCACACTCCCATGGCAGCCATGGGGAGGCTCCACAAGCTTCTGGACCAGTTGGGCCCCCCTGAAATCAAGCCCGTCGTTGACACTCTCGGCCTGAATCCTGGCCCCACGGGGGCTTCTAGCATTGAGATATATCATCCTCTGTTTTGCACCCCCGACCTCAGCCACTTGGCACTCCACGGTTTCCGGGGCCACAAAGTTGCCTCTTTCCCATGTGAGCCCGTGGTTGTGGCTGATGAAGCAGAAAGCAGAGGGGCTGGGCCGCACGTGGGCACGGAGTTTCCGGTAGGCGTAGGCTGGCACCACCAGGCTCTGTGCCTCATTGTGCAGCTGCAGACAGTGCCCCGGGCCCACCGCAAAGGTGGCCCATTCCCCGTGGGCCGAGCCAATGGCAGAGTCAGTGAGGTCTCTGGTGGGGCTCCAGGACTTGCCGTGGTCAGTGCTGGTGACTTGGCACAGCCGTGTCACATTGATCTTGGTGTGGAGTTGGTGTTGCTCAGAGACCTGCCTGGGGATGGCAATGAAGAAGAGGAAGAGGGTCCCCGTTTTCTCGTCATACAAGGGACTTGGATTCATGGACCGGTGGCCCTCCAACTGGGCTTGGGCCACCTCTTTCTGAGAGTGCCACTGAATGTGAGGAGAGGAAGAAAGACAAGCACTGCCTTGAAATGACCAGTGACAGAGCTGTACTCTCGGTGGGGCGGGGTGTGGGAGTGGGGGGCGTCTCATGGGGTTAGGTCAAAGGTCATGGAGAAAGTGTTCATCCACCACTCGCTCAACTCACATCACCTCCCAGAGCTGTGGGAGCCAGACTTCACCTCACCCCCTGCACAGCAGCCCACTCCTCCTGAATGTCTGCTGCCTCCATTCCCACCAACATGTATCAGAGCACCTATGGTGGGTTAGACCTCAGATGCAGAGGTCCTTTGGGCACGAGCCATTTCCAGCTTCATTCTGGTCCCCTCAACCTACCAGCCCAGTCCAACTTTCCATTCTTGAAAAGTAAAGCCCTAGTAGTAACACAATAGTCTGACCTGTGTGGGACAGAATATGACAATCACTTCCCATCTTCTATTAATCATACTCTATTAATGCAGCCTGGGAGGGGCTGCTACATGACACTAGAACTTGCATGGAGTTTCCATAATCCCAAAGTCTATGCAACAGTTCTGCCATCTACCCCCATTCATTAACGCCTGTCCCCCAGTGAGCCTTCTAAAGGCAGACACTGTGCCAAGAGCCTAACCCCTAAACTCCTGGGGAACAGGTGTCATTATCTCCAACTTATGTCTGGAGAATGGAAGGCTTAGATAAGAAAGGTGAGTTGCCCAAGGCCATACCTCTAATTGATAGAGCCAGGACTTGAACCCAGGTCCATCTGCTTCAAACCCCATGTTCTGAACAGCTGCTATGTAATAATTACCACAAAGTAATGATAATACTAATAGTAATATGTGATACGCCAGCCTTGGATGTCTTTGTCAAAATCAATTACTTGATCTACATGCTGGGACTTTAGAACACAGCAATCACTCCAACCAGGTCCCACTCCCCAGGTTAATTTTACTCAAAGGCTACAACCCCAGTTATGGAATTCTAAACTAGTCCTCCCTCAGGTTCTCAATCACACAGGACCACCTTTCTGAGCATTAGTTTCCCTGGACTTGTCCCATCATGCACTGAAGCTGATACCGCCAGGCCAACTGGACTTGGTCCCAGGGAACCCACATTTTCTGGGTGACCACTTTGGGGCACTTTCTCTGCCCCATCCATGGTAGGGCCCTGAATCCCTCCTGGGTTTCGATGTCTCCTTTCCCTCTGTCCCCCAGACCCCAGCCATCTAAGAATGGCATGGTCCCCGTATTCCTGGCAGAGCTAGTGTAGCCTCATCTTGCCTTACCTGGACCCGGTGGGTGGACTCATCATAGCTTCCCCTGCGCAGGACAATCAGCTCTGCATCCTCATCCTTCTTGCTCTTGCGCCTTTCTGCGAAGGCTAGCAGAGTCTTCTGCTGCGGCAGGTAGAGCAGAGCAGGGATTCTGTAGGCCTGTGCTCCTGACTTGAACACTCTCTCCTTCTGCAGGACGGGGAGGGATGCCATGGGGCCTGGGGGAGGCACAGAAAGAGAAGATGAGTTCCCTGAAGTCACATCCTGAGATGGGGCTGAGCTATCCTCCCAGGCAGGGGGTGCCCACTCCAAGGGCGAGGAGGCTGAGATTGGTGACCTGTCCTCCTTCCCCATGGGGTTCGACCCCCTTATTACCTCCCAAGAGCCTGTGTATGATGCTACACATGCCTGCCATGGAGCTATGCAGCGCTCTGTCCATGACACTTCAGGGAAAGGGTATTTGGAAAAGCACATTTTGTGTTGAATTTTAAACCTTGCTAGGACAAATCTGTGATAACCTTCAGCTGCTTTTCCCACCAAATGCCAAGCCTTGGGTTGGATAAGAGTGTTTGCCAAGTGGCATTCTGCAGCTGTCCAACTGCTAGAAAAGGACACATAAGAACTTTTTATAACTGCAGGCCTGGAAGTCACCTTAGAAAAAAGGAAAAAAGTGTGTGTGGGGGGGCGGGCGGATGGAGCCTTGATTTTGCAGGCTTGCTCTCCAGGCTGCCTGAGGCTGACTTCCTAGCCGCCTCCAGTGTGGGGACTCCACCCCTGGGGGAGGGAGAAGCATCTGGAAGGGAAGAGAGAAGCTCCCAACAGCTCACTCGGGCTGGGAGGGTCCTCCAGAGGCACAAAAAAATAAAATAAAAATTAAAAATAAGCTTCCAAAGTGTTGAGTTCAGTTTAGAGCAACTTCCCTGTTCTGTTAATCAAACTTGGGGACATTGAAACACAGTCTAGGGGGGATGACCAGATAGAAAGCATTTCTCTATTCACTTACCTCGCAGCCTAGAAAAATGCTTGGTCAGATGGAAATATATCAGCAGGTTAAAGATGTCCAAGAGAGAAGTGATTCTGAAGGGACTGAAGACTGAGCTTGGACTAGCAGATGACTCAATTCCTTCAGCTTTTGGAAGTTTGGCAATCTGTTGGGCTGTTGGAGATATAATGACAATGAATAATTTTTATACATAACTGCTTTTCAAAAGAAAATAAAAGCATTTGATCAAAGAGGGTAGGGAGGCCCGAGGTAACTTGGTGACTGTGTGTGACAGTGGTCTCCATGTTAAGCCACCTGGGGTCCCCTTCAGGGGGATGAACCCCCAGCTGCAGGGAGTGCTGGCTGCAGAGCAGATGGCTCTCAGCTGAGCAGCAGGGATGAGATTGTCATCGAATAACCTCCTCCTGCTCATCCCCAGGAAAGGCTGCATCTGATGACCAGCCTGCCCAGAACCTGAAGACCTGGCCCCATGACCTATCTGGATCTCTGAGGGCCAGCACAGGTCCAGGGCAACTGCAGCTGCCCTAGGAGGCACACCACCTCTCCTCTGTATACCTGTTCCCATTGCCTGCATTTCCCCCCCACTGTGTACATTATTATCTACTTAAAACTTATTTAACATGTTTGAGAAATCTATGCTTTTACTCTGTGCCCTGCATTGTTTCGGAACTTGGGATACTTTATGAATAAGACAACTAACCCCAGTCCCCACAGGCTGCTAATATAAGTATTTGTCTCTAAAGATTTAGAGCCACAGCTGATGCAGGAGGGGATGGGGCAGAGGAAAAGGGGGTGGGTCTTGGGGTCCATTCTAGAGAGCTCTTCTCTATTCTCAGTAACTCAGCACCAGTCCAAACTCACACACTTACCGGCAATACCAATCCCCAAATGTCTTTAGAATAATAATAGCAAACACAAAAGTGACCCTTACCAAATGCTGGGCACTCTTTAAGTGCTCTATAATATTAAAAAAAAGTTTTTTTGGAAGTTATATTTACAAATTATATTATTTTACAATATGATTCACAAATATATACTCATTTCATCCCCACAACACCCCCATGAAGTTGATGCTATCATTGCCCATTGTACAGATGAGGAAATTAAGCCCACCCAGCCCTTCAGTGTCAGAGCTGGGACTACAGACTCTTCTGACCCACACAGCCTGCCTCTCAGGGCAGTTCTGGAAGGCACCATTTTCCTGCACCTTGTCACACGATGCCTTAGCACCGCATGCAGGTAGCTAGCTGGCCCACTTGGCCCCAGCCCTAGCTCCAAATGTGGTAGCACCTTCAGGCCAGGGTAGTGGAAAGAAAACTGAATTAGGAATCAGATTCTGGGCCTAAGTTCATGTCCAGCAAGTTGTATATCTTTGGGCAAGAACCTTCCTCTTGGAGGTCCATCTCCCCACCGGGCAAGAAAGGGGCTGAAGAAGGTGATTGCATAGGCCCCTTCATCTCCAGAGCAGGCACCGAGTTAGGTCCTGACTCCTTCTGGGAGGCTGGGCAGGGGCCCTGGCACAACCCAGTCCCACACAGCAGCACAAAGGCAACCAGAGAGATGATAATGTCAGTTTGCACCATGAAAAACTGCCATTTGGTAGGTCAAAAATGATTGAATAGTGATGATTCCAGATGGTCCCACCTAAGGCTACCAGCAGCTGACATGGCTTGTAGTCTGTGGGCACCAAATCTGGAGCAACGCATCTTACTTCTCCTCACTCTGCCTACAAGGCCAGCTCTCATGCTCCCATCTCAGATATGGGGAAACCGAGAAGTGAGTCAGGGAGGCGGTGGATGACTTCCTTAAGTCGGTGAAGGTGGGTGGATTTGAGCCTGGATCTGCCTTATTTCAGAACACATGCCCCTAACCACTGGATTCTCCTGCCACAAACCCACAACTGGGACCCTGAGGTCTGAAAGCTTCCTAACCAAAGGCGAGCGGTGGAGGGCCCCTGCCCACTTCCTCTCTCTCTCCTGTTGGGAGCACACTGGCTGCTGGCATTCCCTCACCTGCTTCAGGAGGCGTCTTTGCCAACTCAGATCTGTATGGAACACCTTCCATGAACCTGGAAACAGGTAAACACACCAGCCTGGTCCCTGCCCTTTCAAAGTCCACAATAAGTGACAGCCAGTGCTTCTGGGAGTAAGAAAGAGGTGCACTTTGCAGCTTTCCCCAGAGGAATAGCCCTTGTTCTTGGGGCCAACTTTGGATGGAATGTTGGCCTGTTGGCTACCATGTTGAAATAATGCCATCTCTCCAAAGAGCAGACAGGGGCCCGCATGTGGTCTGCCCTCAGTTCCAGCAAAGCAAGCGTGTGGGGCAGCAAGCCCAAAGTGCTCTCCTCCAAGAAAACCCCATCCATGGGCTCAATGCAGCTTGGGCCCGGGGCTGGGATTCACACCCCAAGCTGAGAGGAGCTCTCCCAACTCCCACGCCAGGACAGGAGCCTGAGCAGCCTTCTGGAAGCTCAGACCAGCAATAACTTGGGGGCAGAATAAAGAGTTTTCCTGGACTGGCTGATCTGAGCCTTCTTCCACATTTCCCATCCAACATGTCCCCTGGATACCCCCAAAACAGAGTGAGCACCATATCGGGGGTTGAGGGGCCATGAGTACACTTAAAAAAATGGCCACTGTCTGAGGCATTCCCAAGTGTGGCACCATCACCCCGTAATTACCTGATACCGGATAACTCTTGTTTATATCAACAAAGGAACAGGTGGGTCAATTCCAAGAGAAGCCTTACCTCAGGGAGTGTTCCAGGTTGGATCCCGGGGCCTGGATTGGACGTCAGAGCGTGCGAGAAGAGGCAGTGGGAACCAGCTTTGAGAAGGTCAGCGCAGCTCCTGTGTTCACCTGGCTTCACCCCGAGTCTCACGGCTCCACTACTGGGCCTGTGCCTATAAACACCTGAGGGAGGCCCAAGGCAGTGTCAGTGTACAAGCCCAGCCCTGGAGGGCACTGCCTCTCATCATCCAGGGAAGGACTTATCTATAAGTCATGCTGAATCAGGGTGAACCTCAGGCCACTTGAGTCAGGCTTGCCTCTTAAACGGATGCAGTGGGCAAAGTGTGTGCATTTCAGGGAACAGACCTCCAGGGCCTGGGAGGGTGTGGACGTGCAGGAGGACCTGGAGCCACCCAGGATGCAACTCCTCTTTGGGATCTGCCTGGGCCAGCTAGGTGAGCAGGGCAACCTTCTTGATCTCTTGAGACCTCAGTTTCCTCTGCTGAAAAATGAGAACAAAAACCTCACAGTAGACCAAGCTGCCTGGAGCAGACTATATGACTCACCTGTTACTATAACCCAGTACCTATGGCGTTTCAGACAATCATCAGTGCTCTATCCATACTCATCAATTCAGTGAATGAATGGATGAGGCTGCCTTTCCAGGCAGGGCTGATATTTGTGAGGATTTAGATAACCTGTCTAAATCTCTTAACCCAGCATCAGCTCATGGTAAGGACTGCCATGGCAACAAGCCTTTTTCTTCTGGATCCATCACAACATGTCTAAACAGCACCATCCATGGGCCCCAAGTTCATTCTCAGGAGGAGGAGTCAGGAGCTGGCACACTGTCAGAAAATATAACCCAGCTCACCCAGTCCACCGCCAGTGTGGGTGAGGCCTCCGGAGCTGGAAAAACCTGAAGGCAGTCCATTCACTTCAAAGTGCACTTCTTGGCTTAGTCTAGAACTGAGGGATGTGGGAGGCCTCCCTAACTTATTTCCCTTCCCTCCACTGGACATAGTTCTCCCATGATTATCTTCAGCTCTAGGTGGCTCCTGTGGCTCAGAGCCAAGTTCAGCTCTCCTTGGCTGCCCCCCAGGTCGGAGTGACCCCTGGATGGCCAGTTCTGGGTCCCCTTGTTCCTGCTCTGGTCTAACCCTCTTATCAGTTTGCAGAGAAAGGGTCATGGTCTGACCTTGGAATTTATGTTTGAAAGTCCATGTGAACACCCTAGTAAACCCAGACCCCAGCTCTGACTCACATCCCCTGGAGGTCCAGGAATCACCTTGAAGTTGATGCTTTTATATTCAATGGGCCATAGAAGGGGTATTTTAAAAGTGAGGTAAGTGTAGGGTGGTGACTCATTAAAGAAATCATAACACATCCATAAAATGGAGTATTAGGCAGCTGATTAATTAAAACCATGTTTTAAAGATAATGCATGAAAATGTTGGGATACAAGATAACATATAAACTAGGATCCCACTTTTGTAAATCTGCATATTATATATTAAAAATAAACAAAAATTATACCAAATATGTATTGCTGTATCCCCTGAAACTTAGCACAGTGCCTGGAACAAAATAGATACTTAGCAAATATCTAGTGAATATAGAATGAATAAATAAATACTATCGGTAGTCAGTTTTAACTAGTGGGATTACAAATGATATTTATTTACTTCTTGTACTCTTCCAGGCACATATGATTTAATTATTAGTTTAAAAAGACATTTTTTGATTCAGGAAGATGGCGGCGGTATAGGCAGACGTGTCCCAGGTCGTGTCCCTGAGCAAATGGAGTGAGCAGCTGAAACTAGTAACATCCACCCCGAATTGGCGAAATTCCTCAGCTGGCGAGACAGTTTACAGCCGGGAAGAGCAGAACTCCCCTGGAAAGGTCTAAGGCGAGCCACACTGAAGAATAGAAGAACCGAAGGACCTTCACTACTGCAATATTTTTTTTTTCTTTTTTCACCTTTTAACTAAGAAACCAATTTTTTTTCTTTTTTTTTCTTTTTTTTCTTTTCCTCTTCTTCTTTTTTTTTTTTCTTCTTTTTTCCATCACCTGATTTTACCCTTTTAATTACTACCTTCTTATTTTTAACCAGTATTATTACTGCTACCATTTTACCATTTTTTTTTAAAGTGCCATTTTATTTTCTCTTTATTTTATTTTGGGATTAGTGTTCTCCATTCTATTTTCATCGTTATATTATTGGTTGTTCCTAGTTTGCATTTATCTCCAGGGAGCTGTTGCTGGAATTTGTTGGGATTAATGGCTGTTCTATAGGAGTATTCTCCTCATATAAAAAGTCTCTTCCCCTCTTCCACTTCATTCTCTCTTTTCGCTCTTTTTTTTCTTTTCCTTTCTTTTCTCGCTTTTACTTTCCCCCCTCCTTTTTCCCAATTTCATTTTTGCACTCCTTTTTTTGGTCCCTAATTTTCTTTTCTTTTTTCTTTTTTCTCTTTTCTCTTTTTCTCTTCCTTCTTCCTTATCCCCCAATTCTCTTAATTCAGGTGGTCACCTTTATTTGGGGTTATTAATATCGTGAATATATTTGTGTATAGTGCCTGGTACGTGGTGCCTTGTTGTGTTGTATTTTGTGCCTTTAAATCAACACAGCAGATCCAAGCAACAGCAACATCCTGAGCACCACACCCTCTGCTGAGGAACAGCAGCTGTACGTGAAACCTCGCCCCACCAGCCAGAAGAGCCACCACAGCTGTGAACAGCACCCACCAGAGGAGTTGCTGCCAACTGAAGAGCAGCTGCTACCGCAACCGCCCGAAGAGGAACCGCAGACCAAGGAGTCACTGCCACCAAGGGAGCAGCCACTGAACGACTCAACGTCTAGATATGTCAGTGAGATCAAACATGGGTAGACAAAGAAACCCCCAAAGGAAAGAGAAGGAGGACTCTCCAGAAAAGCAGCTAAGTAATACAGAGGCATGCAACATGACAGAAAAAGAATTCAGAATAAGGGTCCTAGAGTGCATAAACCGGATGGAGGAAAAAATCGACAACCTCAGCAAGAAGCAAGAAGAAACAGATGAAAAAATCGATAACATATGGAAGAAGCTAGAAGAAACAGATGAAAAAATCGATAACATATGGAAGAAGCTAGAAGAAACAGATGAAAAAATCAACAACTTAAGTAAGACCCAAGAAGATATGAAGAGCGATATAGCTGCAATGAAAAACTCCATTGAAAGTATCAACAGTAGACTAGGAGAAGCGGAGGACCGAATTAGTGATTTAGAAGACAAGGAAGCAAAACACACCCAAAATGTACTGCAATTGGAGAAAAAAATGAAAAGACAGGAGGAAAGCCTAAGGGAGCTTTGGGACAACATGAAACGAAACAACATACGAATAATAGGGGTACCAGAACAACAGAAGGATGAACAAGGATTAGAAAACCTATTAGAAGAAATAATATCAGAAAACTTCCCTGAGGTGGGGAAGAAAAAAGTCACACAAGCCCAGAGAGTCCCAAACAAGGTGAACCCAAAAAGACCCACACCAAGACACATCATAATTACCATGGCAAATGTTCAGGACAAAGAGAGAATCTTACAGGCTGCAAGAGAGAGACGGAAAGTTACATACAAGGGATCTCCCATTAGATTGTCAAATGATTTCTCAACAGAAACACATCAGGCCAGAAAAGAATGGACGGAAATTTACAAAGTGATGCAAAGCAAAGGACTGAATCCAAGAATACTCTATCCAGCAAGGCTATCATTCAAACTTGAAGGGGAAATAAGAAGCTTCACAGACAAAAAAAGGCTAAGGGAGTTTATCACCACCAAGCCAGCAATGCAAGGAATGCTAAAGGGACTGGTATAAAAATAAGAAATAAAAAGCTCAGAAAGAAAACAGCCACACAAAAACAGAAATGCCTACAAACAACTACCTTTCAATAATAACTTTAAACGTAAACGGACTAAATGCTCCAAACAAAAGACATCGAGTGGCTGAATGGATAAAAAAACATGACCCATACATCTGCTGTCTACAAGAAACCCACCTCATTAGAAGGGACTCACACAGACTGAAAGTGAAAGGATGGAAAAATATCTTTCAGGCAAATGGAAAGGAAAAGAAAGCTGGGGTAGCAATACTTATATCGGACAAAATAGACCTCAAAGTGAAGGCCATAACAAGAGATAAGGAAGGCCACTTCATAATACTAAAGGGATCAATACAACAAGAAGATATAATCCTGGTAAACATATATGCACCCAATGCAGGAGCACCCAAATTCATAAAAAAACTCCTGGAAGATATCAAAGGAGACATCGACAACAATACAATCATAGTAGGGGACTTTAATACACCACTGACAGCACTGGATAAGTCCTCTAGACAAATAATCAGCAAAGATACAGCAATCCTAAATGACTCACTAGATCAGATGGACTTAATAGACATCTTCAGAACACTTCACCCGAAAGCCAGGGAATATACATTCTACTCAAATGCTCATAGGACATATTCAAAAATAGACCATATATTGGGTCACAAGCAAAGTATCCCCAAATTCAAGAAAATTGAAATCATAAAAAGCGTCTTCGCAGACCACGATGGCATAATATTAGAAATAAACTACAATAAAAACAACCCAAAATACTCAAACACCTGGAAGCTGAATAGCATGCTATTAAATATTGATTGGGTTACCAATGAAATCAAAGAAGAAATTCGAAACATCCTGGAAACTAATGACAATGAAAACACAACAATCCAAAACCTATGGGACACAATGAAAGCAGTCCTGAGAGGGAAGTTTATAGCTCTACAGGCCTATCTCAAAAAACAAGAAAAAATGGTAGTAAATCATCTAACTCTACAACTCAAAGAATTAGAAAGAGAGCAACAAGAAAACCCCAGAGTGAGCAGAAGGAAGGAGATAATAAAGATTAGAGCAGAAATAAATGACATAGAGACCAAAAAAACAATACAGAAAATCAATGAAACCAAGAGCTGGTTCTTTGAAAGGATAAACAAGATAGACAAACCTCTAGCCAGACTCACCAAGAAGCAAAGAGAGAGGACCCAAATAAACAAAATCAGAAACGATAGAGGCGAAATAACAACAGACCCCACAGAAATACAAATGATTGTTAAAAAATACTATGGACAGCTCTACTCCAACAAACTAGACAACCTGGAGGAAATGGACAAATTCCTAGAAAAATACAACATTCCAAAACTCAATCAGGAAGAATCTAAAAATCTCAACAGGCCAATAACTATGGAAGAAATTGAAGCAGTCATCAAAAAGCTTCCAGCAAACAAAAGCCCAGGACCAGACGGCTTCACAGGGGAGTTTTACCAAACATTCAAGGAAGAACTAAAACCTATCCTCCTCAGACTACTACAAAAAATTCAAGAGGAAGGAACACTTCCAAGCTCATTCTATGAAGCCAGCATCACCCTAATACCAAAACCAGGTAAAGACAACACAATGAAAGAGAATTACAGGCCAATATCCCTCATGAACATAGATGCCAAAATCCTCAACAAAATCTTAGCAAATCGGATCCAGCAGTACATCAGAAAGATCATACACCATGACCAAGTAGGATTTATCCCAGGGATGCAAGGATGGTACAATATCCGCAAATCAATAAACGTGATACATCACATAAACAAATTGAAAGAAAAAAACCACATGGTCATATCAATTGATGCAGAAAAAGCATTTGACAAAATTCAACACCCATTTTTGATAAAAGCTCTCAGCAAGGTGGGAGTAGAAGGATCATACCTCAACATAATAAAAGCCATATATGACAGGCCCACAGCCAACATCATACTCAATGGACAAAAACTAACACCATTTCCCCTAAGAACAGGAACAAGACAGGGATGCCCCCTCTCACCACTCCTGTTCAACATAGTACTGGAAGTGTTAGCCATTGCAATTCGGCAAGAAGAAGAAATAAAAGGCATCCAAATTGGAAAAGAGGAAGTAAAACTGTCCTTATTTGCAGACGACATGATATTATACATACAAAACCCTAGAGACTCCATCAAAAAGCTACTGGACTTAATACATGAATTTGGCAATGTAGCAGGATACAAAATTAACCCCAAGAAATCCGAGGCATTTCTATACACCAATAGTGAACTTTCAGAAAGAGAGATTATAAAAACAATCCCGTTTACCATCGCACCAAAAAAATTAAGCTACCTAGGAATAAACTTAACTAAAGAGGTAAAAGACCTCTACTCAGAAAACTACAGGACGTTGAAAAAAGATATAGAGGAAGACATAAACAGATGGAAGAACATACCGTGTTCATGGATTGGTAGAATCAACATCATTAAAATGTCCATACTACCCAAAGCAATCTATAAATTCAACGCACTTCCCATTAAAATACCAACGGCATACTTCAGAGATCTAGAACGAACTCTCCAAAAATTCATCTGGAATAAAAAAAGACCTCGAATAGCTGCAGCAATCCTGAAAAAGACCAAAGTAGGTGGGATCTCAATACCAGATATCAAGATGTATTACAAAGCCACTGTTCTCAAAACTGCCTGGTACTGGCACAAGAATAGGCATATAGATCAATGGAATAGAATAGAGAGCCCAGAAATCGGCCCGAACCAATATGCTCAATTAATATTTGACAAAGGAGGCAAGAACATACAATGGAGCCAAGATAGTCTCTT